TTTTCTGCAATGATATAGAATTCCTCTAAAAAATGTTTGGCTGAGGCCTTTATAACTGAGGGACATGTAACTAAGGACTTTCTGAATCATGTAATTAGTAAAAGGGTTTTGAAATATTATTCTCAAGTTGCTGGCCCTTTTGCTAAAGAGGCGGAAATATCAGCATGGAGGAGGAAAGGTTTCACTGGAGAGAAAGTCCTGTTTTCATCTGCTTCCCAGCCTTATCTTCTTACCTTTCTATCCAATTATTTTAGTGTTTCTCTTACTAAGTAAATTATGCTCACTGAGCTCCATGCTTTTCTAGTCAGTCTGTTGCTGCTAACTCAAACTAGCAACTTTCCAACTAGATGTATCTGGTTTTTTTAATCAAATTCCAGAACCATATGAAATTTGCAATGTTTAGAGGTCCACATGTGCAACAAATTTAACTTAACTTTCTTCTTTCAGTTATCTTTTACATGTGCCTTAGAAATTACTCATGATTCCGCAGAAATCTATGGACCACAGATTGAAAACTCTCATCTATATAATATCACCAAAATTCAGTATAGATAGGTAATGTTTCAGTGTGAACTATTTGTCCATGAAAAAATCATACAGCAGAGAAGAGAAAATATTTGAAAGCATCACCACAGCCATAGGAATAATCAAGGATTCAGTAACAACCATGGAATCACAACTATCTTCAACTAATTTGTTTAGTTCTTATTTAGTTAGTGAAATCTTTTTAAGTACATGAAAGATCAGATGAATGTAAACCATCGGTCAAAAAGTATCTTTATCGTCCTTGGGGAGTCATGAAGTTGGGGCAGTCCATGTAAAGCTAAATTCCCAGGAGAAAATGTAAAGGATGACTACGTTAACGGTAGTGACTAAAATTTAGTAAGCCACAGAAGGAGATTAGAATAAGAAAGGAGATCCTTTCTTACAGGAATTTACTCTGGAATAGGTGATGGTGTTCTGATTTAGTCAGAACGTAAAGGAAAATAAAGCAAATGAGATGCACAGTTTGAGGCACCTTTGTAATAATCAGCAAACAGACAAATAACTTTTTTTGCATTTTAAACATTTATTTCTTATTAGGAGTAGTATTTTAGTCTATTACTCTTAAAATAGATTCAAGCAAAAATCTTCATTGTTCGCAATTGAAATAGAACTCTTGTTCTCACTTCTGTCAAAGTTGCTCTACGTAGCATAGATATTAAACTTGCAGCATAGGAATATTTACCCTTGATGCTATTGGCCTTGTCCTTTAACACTCCCAGGAAGCTGTTATCTTCTGATTAAATGAAAATGCTTGTGAGAAATATCTATACACCACAGTGGTTTACCAAGAAAGGAAGTTTTCAGCAAAAAACTCACTTTAGCTGAAAAGTCAATCCTTCCCATGCCTTTTCTCCAAAGGGGGGAAATCTATTCTACTCATCACTTAAATATATGCTCTTCTATTTCAGTTTCTTATGATATTCTAACAAAATCAAAGACTTGTTTTTAAAGGTAGTCTGTATTGTATGTATAGATTTCTTTTTCATATTTACTCTTGAATTATCTACTATTCTGTAATTACATTAACCTTGGATATTTCTTACGTAATTCTACAAACTGTATAAATTGAATACAATTTGATGATGCTGCCAAAAGGAACAGTCCTGCTTTCTTCTCATCTTATATTTCCACATCATGTTTTATGGAAAAATTTGATTTCATGCAGCCACTAGTGAAGCAGGTGAGGACACTGATCAAGCTGAAAAATGTTTGGTGGAGAACAATGTATCTGTTGAATCTAGTTACTTCAGTAGTTATACTAAGAGGAAAAAATAACCAGTAAAGAACGTGTAGATGCATGTGTGGAAAAGGAGGGGTGGTCTTTTCAGTAGCAATGTAGATTTTTGCTGGGTTACATTGGTCATGAATGTACAGCAACTGGGTAAAGCAGAAAAGCCTTACTTCCACTGAGATCAATGGACTCTATCTTTTGGATAGAGTCCAGGCTTCACTAAAGCTAGGAAGTTAATCATGCTGAAAGCTGAAGATGCAGCTATTTAAGATACTTTGAGTATAATGTCTGGCTTAAAATTTTACCTTTTCTGTTGTCTGTGGTACTGAACTGCATAATCTTTAGTCCTTTTAATTTTTTTTAGATATGAGAAGTATAATCACATTTTTAATATAAAATAATATTTTCAAGAAGGATAAAAAGGAACAGGAGTACAGCACCATATGAGGGTCAGCACCATAAATATAAATGTAATCAACTGAATCCACTGTAGAAATTAGTCTACTTTTAATTTATTAAGAAACTACAGAGAGAATAAAAGTATCTTACCCACTCAATTACAGAACTAAAAATATAAACTTTGTAAATAAATTTTAAATTCATTCCAGTTCATAGTAAATCTTTTCACAATTTAATTTAGTAAATCAAATTATTCAACTCTCCAAGGTATTATTTTAAAGTATAATTTTAGTAAAGATTTCATTTCAGAATTCAAAATTGTGCAGAATTTACCCTTTGAAAGCTGCAGCTGCGATCACTGAAAATGTAACGTGTGTCATATGGTGGAAATGACTCTGTAGAAGTACCAGGATTCAGCATATCTTTTCATTTACGCAAAAAAAAAAATCATAATATTTTATGCTTTTCTCATGGGACACGGAGACACTGAAATGAATTATATGGAGATCTATGTCTTTTAAGAAAAAATTGCAAGACATAGTTCTTGCTCTTGCAAGGGGGATTTCTCGTAACAGTTTTGCTTAGATTTTCAGAAAAATGCATAGGGTTGTTAAGACATGCAGCTGTTTTCTATTCCTTACCACCTTGGACTAGGTCAACACTAGTATTTTGTGGAGGAAGAGTCATTTCTTTGGACTTTTTTTTTTTTTTTTTGGAAGATCAAGTGCAGAGTTAGGAGCAGCTATCCAGGATGAAAAGTGCAGACAAACTTTAGCCAATCGTAAAACTGTACTCAGTTTGAAAACTAGGAGAATCATACAATGCTACTAGAAATATTGCCAGCTTTAAGTTGGGTTAGCAAGTTTGATGTAATTAGCAGTGCTTCAAGACTACTAGAACTAACACAACTGGGGCAAGATGGGCAGGGAAAGGTTTAATGCCAAGGGGAGACCACTCCGACAGCACCTTGTGGTTAGATTAGCTTAAATCAGTAACAAAACCACAGCAGAAGGCTCTTGTGTTACATGAAGTTTTTTTTTTTCTCTTCTTAGGTCTTCTGAAGTTGCAGCCCAAGCAAATTACTTCCATCCTTTTTTTTTTTTTTCTCCAACTTTACAGTTTTCTAAGAATTTGTAAACTGTATACTTTCCAAGGGTCCATCTTCTCCCAGTGATTGTACAAAGCAGCTAGAAAAATTCATGAAAAAAGCTTACTGCTTATAAAGAAAGTAATGAATTTCTCTGTCTATTGTCTACTGTGTCCTGGAAATAAGCAAAAATTATATGACAAAGTTGTACTACTTAAAAGTATTGCACCATTGCAACTATTGCACCACATATAAATTTTACTGATTTTTATTATTATTGTTGTTATTAAAGCTTTAGGAAACAAAGGTATTACCGCAAACCAAAATTGGCCTTATTCAAAATAATGGTTAGGAATACTTCTGTGTTTTGGATGGTTTTTATTCAAATGAAAGTTCTGAGAGTAGGTCAGGCAACTAGAAAAAGCCTCAACCTTGACCAAGCTTTGGCAGCAGCTGTGTGCATGTGTTGTTGGGGCTGGTGGTGCGCTACACTAGACAGCAATAAACAAAGGAGTTAGAGGCCACGTCTGTCCTTTTCCTTTTCTCATAGCTGTACTGGGCTACAGAGTTCTCCAGAAGCCTGAAATGAATAGCAAATAAATGTCCAGGAAAGCACTGAAAAGTTGGAAACAGCTGGGGAAAATGTTTGCTGTATCTGATTGGGAGCCAGAAATTGCAAAAACTTCTATTCAGCCATCAGTAAATAAAACAGGACTGAATCATAATGCTAAAATTACTCTCCAGTATTTTAGTTATTGTATTGGCCTTCTACATTTCAAACGCAGGTGTTAACACTAATCACTATAAAATATAAGCATATTATTTTAAAATCTGGATATTGGTATATTGGAGCAATTATATTTACTTTAAACCACTTAGTCTTCTGCTGGTATAGCAAGATTTACAGTTTTTTCTAACATACCAAAGGGAAAAAAAAAAGACATAAGTAGTTAATCTGTGCAGCCTGTCCATATCTCCATTTTCTCAGTATTGGGATGGGAAAGCAATTTATGAGTTGCTTTTTTTCCTGTGGGCAAATGAGTGGCAGTGGATAAACAATAAAAAAGAATGCCACAAGATTTACTAGCACAGCCAGATCATGATGTGAGCAATACAGTGTAACAGTATAGTGCTAGCCTTTTGAGAATAACTCGGGAATACAGCTCCTGGATTGTTTCTGGAATGTAGACGGCTAAATAAAGTCCCTTATAAAAATGCTTGATTTTTCTTGTGAAATATATGCAAAATCTGAAGGCCAGCTGTTATTTTTCTTGCTTATGTAGGTAAATTATAAGGTAAGTTTTATCTAGCATGGAACTCCATAATTTGGGAAAGAAGATAAGGGAATCTGTGACTGTGATTCTAAATAAATACTTTCCTTCTACTAGACTTTTAAAACATACATTAATTCAAGTCAGTCTTGTCTTGAAGAAAGAAATGTCTTACCTAATTTCTCTAAACTCAAAGAACTTTGAGAGAGCTTTGTATGTTTGATGACATTTCCTTTGCTAATAATTCCTAGTCAATAAATAAGCATGTCTATTTATGCTTGTGTATTGCATAAAATAGATCTTAATAGCTATTTCTTGTTGATGAAGCGTAATTCCAAAACAATTAATAGAATTATTAATAATACTATACCATTATTATAACAGTATAATAAAGCGCTATTTGAGGTTATTTATATAACACAGTTTAACTGAGAGAAACTGAATAAATTGTCTTTGTCTTTTTTAGGAGTGAAATTAGATTAAGAATCAAAAGATGAATCTCAGCTGTGCTCAGAAACTAACTGAAGAGTCACAGGTTTTTAGGGCCCAACCAAGACAACATTATGAATTAGCTGGAGGTAGCCAACCAGCTACCAATTTGTGTAATTCAAAACTCTCATCTCAAAGTTTCTACCCATATTCATCTAATTATCCATATGTGTATATAAATAACAGCAGCAACTGGGAAATTTATGAAGCAATAAGAACTAAGGAACTGGAAGAAGTCAAAGCTAGAGCTGCCCAAATGGAGAAGACCATGCGCTGGTGGTCAGATTGCACTGCTAACTGGAGGGAGAAATGGAGCAAAGTTAGAGCAGAAAGAAATAAAGCTCTAGAGGAAGCAAGACAACTGAGAATCAAATTAGAGATTGTTGTGAAAGAGCTGAGTATGCTGAAAAAGATAAACAAAGATTTAGTGAGTGAGAAGGAGAATTTTAAAAACATCATTTCTTGGGAAAAAGAATCCAGTTGTTCAGAAAAGCTGTATATAAAAGAAGACCTAAACCAGTTAATATCTCTGGAACAAGAACCTGTGGAAGATATGAGCAAAACCAATGAAATTCCAGTGACACAAGACACAAAGAAGGTAAAGGATAAGGACTTCTTTAGTTCATGGAGAAGCAGATTATGGATATGTATTTAGAATGGAATTTTTCAAGGATTTTGACCAAAATACTACAAGATCCAGTTCATAGCAAAGAATGCTTTTTCCCCTAATGCTTCTAATATAGAGAAACAGAGAAAACAATTCATACCCCTCAACTGTGGCTAAAAGTTTAAGTAACAGAGGCAGACCATTATCTCCAAAGATTTACAGTATTATTCTGACAGTGTTATTATCTTTCATATTTTAACATAACAGACTACCACTATAATCTGAATTCTCCGTATCTTGTGTACTTTTGTATCTCCAGAAATGCAGCATAGATTCTTGACATCTAAAAAAATCCTTTAATTTTCCCTCAGTGCAGTTTCTGAAATGAGAGGAGGGGTGAGGCAAATTCTTCTGCAAAGTAGCAAGATTTTTATTTGGCAAGGAAAGCAATTAAGTTGTTTTAGAAAAGTAAAAAATGAAGTATGGACATGCTTAATGTAGTTCTAAGTTCTACACAAAACACAATTATCTTTGTCAAAATGGAACTATGTGCTCGTGTTTTACCACTTTGAATTCTGTGTCTTGGCATGTATTGTGTACATCATAAATAACATAATCCAAAAACTGTTTTGCTATTTGTCTGACAGAAAGCAATCACTAGAAATTCAGAAAATTATCAGTTTGAGTTCAGCTGAATATTGCCAGGACCTTGAATCTGAATGTATTATGTTCAGAATTTTCGCTGGCTCTGTAGTGCACATAAATTACACTATATTCCTGTGAATTTTGTGGGGGGAGAGGGAAAGGTAGTACTAGCATTTGAGAGTAAATTTGGCAAAAAATGTCTTTGGCAAAATATAAGAAATAAAAATATCTTTCTTACACTATAGTCAGGAAAAAAAAGAAAAGCATCATATCTAGCATTGTTTTTAAAAGTATTCTCTTTAAAAATAAATTTAAAATAATGATGTGATAGTTTATTAATTATTATTTTACAATTCTATTTCAAAGGCATTGAGATGAAAAGGTAAAATATAAATGCTCAGGAATGTCTAAAGATGAAACCTGGCTTATTTAAAAATAAAAAGTAGGAAATTTTACCATCAATGAATCCATTAAAGCCTTGCCTTTTTCTCATAGGCTACAATCCTTCAAAGATTTATTATATTTTTTAGTTCAAAGCCAAACTCCGCATGTAAAGTCAAGCACATAGATAAATGGGCCACAGAAGGAAATGATGCAAAATATATTTTAATATATCTGGTTTCCCTTTCTGCTACTAGAAAGTACTACTAGAAAACTGAAATTTTGTATATGAGTATAAAACAGTTTTACCTTTTCATCAGATTGTATTATTTTCTGGTGTGATACTACTATTGGTAATGCGCTAAAATGAGATTAATTTTTAGACTAAAATAATTACTCAGCAGTGATAAAAAAACATTTCTACAGGAAACTATTGTTTATAGGGGATGTTCAGTCTTCCTAATACTAAAGGTGTATTTTATTTCAAGTTTTTTTTCTATTTTCTTTTGTATCTTCTTTTTTTTTTTTTGTATGCAAAACTTCTATATCCTCAAAATAGACACTTATTGCTTTTAGTTTCTAAAACTCAGGTTGTTTTGTTATGCGGATAACTTTGGTCATTATACAAAACTATTTAAGTCCATTGGTAGTTTCAACGTGATTTAGATTAGATGCTGAGAGCTTTTGGAGGATTTTTGTAACAGTTTTTATCTAGAACTTTGTCAATATACTATTTGTACGTATAAATTGCACTCTTGTTTTGGTTAATTTCAACGATCTATCTAGCCAAATGGTGACTGGAATCTATTTGTTTATCAAGGATACATTGGAGATATTTAGGATATGGGCCATTCTTTCTGGAGTGTGGCATGTGACAAACGAAAGTGATCACTTCAAATTAAATGACCTTTTTGCAGTCAGTAAAAGTACAGATAGCATTCTACCTGTATCCTGTGCAAGTACACAAGATTACTTAGTATCTCCTTCCCTACTCCCCCCCTCCCCCCCCCCCCCATATAATTTAAATATTTGGAAGGTCCATGGCAGGCCTTGCAGAAGTTACATACAGACTTTTCTTCTTCATTTATGCTTTTATGCTCAGACATCATGTTTTTCTGTTTTCTCAGGATGCAGAGGTAGTCAAAGAAGCTTTAAGAAGCAATCAAAATAAAAAAATTACTCCAAAGCCTCCTGATTCTTTTCCCAAAGGAGTTTCCACGATTTATTTGGAAGAACCTAAAAAAAGGCTGGACGATATAGCTAAGACATCGGAAAATGATTTCATACATGTTTCTGTCTTGCATTTGCATTTGGCTGAGCTGCAAAAAATCTTACAGAACGAAAGAGAGTAAGTGCAAAATACATCCTCCCTGGAGAAATCACTATTAAAAATAAAGATTTTAAAGGCACTTTCTAAAACAGATGTCTGATATGGTTTGCATTTACAGCTCATGTGTTCTCCTAGATTTTGTTTTTATTTGCCATTAAAAAGGCTTTG